GCATCTGCAGAGTTTTTTTAAGTTCTAAGTTTTATGTCTCTGTAATAGTGCCACCATGGAAGAAGGAATTAAGAAAGCTTCTGAAGAACTTCAAGTACTGGTTTTTTACAGCTCTGCTGTAATTTCATCCTCACCTGTGTCCTTGCCAATTTTAAGGTGCTGGAGTGCCATTCTAATCTCACTCTATCTTACGCCATGAATATCATCGGAATAGTGTCAGATAAGACTTGCCCTTGAATCGTTGGTTAAACTTGCATGTTGCTCCAACGATGACTTGTTTAGCTTCCCGTAGAACCTCTCAATCTCACTCAAAATCTTAGTTGTCTCGGAAATGACACTATCACATTTGACAGATCTCTGGCGAAGACCTTGAAGCCTTGAATATGCTCGAGAGCTTTTCGATACGAGCTGTATTGAAGTACGTAAGTCTCGCTGCATGCATTTGAAGATCTGTCTATTCAGTTGCCTGTGTGCTATCACATCTGCTTAAAACTGCATCTTCATTTCCAATCTCAAAGTTATGAGATTTAGAGTATGATCGGAGAGTTATTGGGTTTGTCGACGGGTCTTGCAGAACTTAGCTCTGACCGCATCGACAGTTTCCACGAACTTGTCATTCATATCGTCCACTGTATTGTAATCTTCTAAGAACTGAAAACGGTTTTGTAATTAGAGCTTAAAATGTTCGGGGTTTCGGATTAGAACATGAGGGAGACGGAGCGTTGAATTCATTTGACGTGACCTCTACAACTTAACCTTAAAGTTCAATGTGCCTCTTACTATTTGGTGATCTCTATTAGTTTTCAGGCACACGATTATTGAGACAACTCTGAACAGTTGCCGTCTGGTCGTCATAATGAAGTCAATCTCATGTTTTGTGGAACCGTCAGAGCTTGATGAGCTACCTATGCTTTTTACAGCGGCCATGCCAATATTTCTCGGGAACACGTCGTCGAGTACCAGAACAATCTTATGTCCAAAGTAGTCTTTATTAAACAAAGTCTCGGATCGGGGACGACTTACTCTAGTCCAGCCTAACCCTCCGAAGACACAGGTTTGCACATTTATCCCTAAACAGGACCCTTTAGTGTACTCCTTTTCAGGGCACTCCTCTTGCTACCTCTGACAGCATCCGGATCCTCGGTGCCGACATATCGAATGATGTCCAGTTTTGTGGTCACGCCGAAGGGAAGTCTAAATTGGCCTCTAAAAAGCTGAGCGTCATCAGCAGGGCGAAGTTAATTTAATGCACACGTCACAAGGCGAAGGTTCGGTCTCCTTCAACTTGACCGCATCCAGTGAAGAGCGGCTCGTATTGTCAACGACCGAGTACTTTTTGATGTTTTATTCTACTCAGTATTTTAGTTGATCATTTATTATTTATATCAGCTTTCATAAATTTTAATAAATTTTTTATTGACCAACATTAGTAGCAAAAACAAAATAGTTATGTATTTCCTTTTTTTAAACTGTCGCTTACAGTACACCTGATGGTAGGTAGTTATTGCAGTCCATGGATAGACGCCTGCAACCAACTTCAGACAAAGAAGGTTAAGTGTGCGTCAATAGACGGATTGCCTAACTGCTTGTAATTATATTGGTTCTTCATACCCTTCAGACTATAACGTAGCAGTACGAGCATTGCTATTTGGCAGTAGAGCTATCTCTGCTAAGGGGGTGGTACCTGCCCAGATAGACTCCTGGGTATAAAAGGAGCCCTAATATCTAGTATTATTTCTTTAGTCTACACACACTCACACACACACAAACCAGTCTCAATTTATTCAGTTATTTCGTCAGTAGCCTAATGACAGGGCGTAGTGGGTTTGAATCGGCCATTCGACTACTGTCGTGAACCACTTCTAACACAAGCATTTTAAGCGTACCAGAAGTGGTTAAATGGAATATTAGTAATGTTTAATAGCATTACTAGTATTTTAAAAAAATCTCGAGTTACTCTTTTTTATCGAATAAGGGTTACAAACGAGCACATAGTCCACCTGATGGTAAATGGATGCTGTGGCTCATACACTACATTCATTTTCTATATTTATCCTGTATTAAGAATTAAAATGCAGATACGTTGTCACCCCTGCGGACTGAGATGGTATGCCTCTTTACCAATAAAGAAGATCTCCGGTTCTCTACAATAACCAAACGAAACAGCAGCATTGAGCAGATATTTTACGCAGGTATTCTGTGAGAGCGTGGTCCTACCCCGGTTGAACCGACCCATACGTGCTACAACCATAATATAGGTGCAGCATGGCTGTATCACGAAAGTACTAATAATCATTCCTTCTTAATCATTTTAGGTGGTGTTCGCTTCTAATAAACCTGATAAGATTGTAAACCACACTTGTGCTGAGTAACCAGTTTCATTAACAATAACACAATACTCGTATAGCTATAATTATATAAACGATCTTTATCCAACTATTTTAGCAAAATTATATTTTTATTTCAATAATAATATAGATGAAGTTATGAAGTTTTTATCAAATTTTAAATTTGAGCTATCTAAATGGTTTATTTATGCTTTAAAATAATATTTATTGTTGCCGAATTCTGTTTGCTGCCATGACAATGTCTATTTACACCATCATCTACGCCTTGTATAATCTAAAGAGCATAAACTTTTATGACAAGTGACAAATGGCAGATTAACAGTCCAAAAACATCCGACCTAAAATAACACAGACTGAAGTCTGGGGGAGGCAGCAGGTCCGAGAATAAATAATTATGAAGTGTAGTATTAATAATAGTCCTTTATGTATACAATATTTAACTAAAAAAATAACATTCATGCAACTAATAATATTTTCAAATATTATTTATACGACTCTAAATATTCCGTCAGCAAATAAAAGTGCATCTTTTATAGTTTTACTTTAATGCGTTCGATAAAGCCAGTCTATCAATAATATAGTAATAGACGCAACCACAGTTGCTTTCCAGGAATTTTTGAAAAAAGTGTTTAGTTTCTTCATACTTCTGTATTTGATCAAATTTGTTTTATATCTAAAATAAGCTTTTGTATGCGCAATTTATTTTCATGTCTAAATTCCGTAATACTTCTTTACTTTAATACGTAATTCAGAAACCATATGGAAGACAAATAAACTAATTTATGTCGTGAGTTGAATATGACAAAAAATGAATGAATGAAAAATGTTTAATTCCCACATGTATATGCGTAAGTAATTTCTATAACTATTACTAAAAAATCATATTAGAAAACCAAAAAAAAAAACTAGAAATTAAATTACTGTCGAAACAATGCGATGTATTTTAAAAGCTTTTACTGCAATGTATGCTTGTTAGGGTCAAATCTTGCAACTGAAATTTAAAGTAGTTATTCTCGACCGATTGAGCTGAAATTTTGCATACGTACTTAGTTTGGATGACAATGAATTTTTAGATAAGTATGGTAACGTCATACTGCATTCAATATGGCGGAAGGCTCAAGATGGCGGTATAGTTATTTTCTCCTATGATGTGGGTATCAAATGAAAGGATTTGCTGAGAAAAATACGACATTCAAATGACGTCACTCTAAATCCAATATGGTGGACACCCAATTATAATAATATCCGCCTACACCCTGGAAAATTCTAGCAGTGGTGAAAAAAAAAAACAAAATGTCGGAAAACAAGACGGCCGCCATACCAATTTCTAGAATTATAACTTAGGGATAGTTTGATGGTGTTCGAACTAATGTTGTCGGGACCGACAAGTGTCAACTGCTGGCGATAAAAGAATTCAATATGGTAGATCTAAGATGGTGATCAAAAACTACCAATGACGTACTTAGTTAAATTCACAGACTTAAAAACATGTTCAGCAAGAACTAGAAAATAAATAATAAATTAATATTAAAAACACTATTTAAAAAAGAAGCTTTTACTGAAATGCTTTATAAAGAAGAAAATAAACTTAAAATTAAATCAAACTCATCAATTTATTACATTACACAATTTATTTGATATAAAAGCTTGTCGAGAGATTATTTTATTATAATTGTATTTTGGCATTAATTTATCTTCTGTAAACCAACTTCTCCTTTTTATATAGGATAGGGTGACAAACGAGCACACAGTCCACCTGATGGTAAGTGGTTGCTGTGAGCCATAGACATCCACATCGATCCTCAATGAAGAATCAAAATGCAGATGCGTTGTCACCCGTGATGACTAAGATGGAATACCTCTTTTCCAGTTAAAAGGGTCGCCGGTTTTCTACACTCACCATACGAAACACATCAGTGTTAATCTGCCATTTTACGCTGGTATTCTGTGAGAGCGTGGTCCTTCCTCGGTCGAGCCGACCCATTCGTGCTACAACTATATTATTAATATAGTTGCAGCATGGCTCTACGGGTTTTTTTCTTTTATCTACAGTGATTTGATTATAGTTTGATCATGTATTAATATTCGCAGCATAGACTTTGACGAGCACACAGTCAAAGTCGATACTCAGATGCAAAGCATCCATTTTGACTGTGTTAAGCGATATTATATTCAATTTTGAACCGCTTTTGATGATTCTTGTTTTATTAAGCATTTTATAATATTATATCAAGGGTTGTCGAACATATATTTGGAAAAAAAATTCCACATGATCTGAATGTAAATAACATTGACATTATGAGTTACATTCAGATCGATTTTTTCAGAGATTATATTGTGCGTGAGATTCTCCACTCAAGTGTAAGAAAATAACTTTTAATAAAAAGTAAAAGCCGACTTCACATAACTAAAAAAAAAAAAACAAAATACAAGTGTCATACACTAAATTCCAGGCTTAATTCTTCTATACAGTATTTAATAAAAGTGCAATTTTCTCCATAACTACAAGAAACCTATTGCTAGAGATACATAATCTTTAGTTTATTTATGAAAACAATTTAGTCTGAGATTTATAACATAACTATGGATTATAGTTATTGTAAGACTTTCTTAACAGTATTGAAACTGACGTTAAGTTTGGTTTGTATGCAGAGAGATGCGACAGATTCGCAGCGGTTGACAATACAAGCTGCGACACGAACTGCCAATGGTCGATATACGTGTGAGGTGTCAGCCGATGCGCCGTCTTTCCAGACGGCCCAAGTTCACGCACTAATGTACGTCGTAGGTAAGTACGGATCATAATTGCGAAATATAAATGAAAGGCAAATACATAACATTAAATATTGAATCAATCGGTGAAAGTAATGTTTCTTTGCCTTATCTTTTTTTTTTTTTTCGCCTTGTACTTTATCCAAGAGATATATAAATCAACTACTGCAGGTAATATTTACAGCTAGGACTCGTACCGCTATCTACATAGATGAAGTTAAAATTGGATCGGTCCTGTTATAGAAGTTTTCAAAATATCAATACTCTGTCTTATGTACTTTTGGCAATGATCCATTACAGTCTCAGATTGTAGGCGCCATTAGTTCAAAACTGTATCTTAGATAAGCGCGAAAATTGCATACACTACGGATTGAGAAAAGGATAAAAGAAATATATACGATAACGTAATATTTATCATATTATTGTTATTATAAACATAACATTGTGATCAGGTATCAAGCATGTTTTTTAACCACATTTTTGTATGGATCTTAGATTTGAATATCCTATACCAAACGAATAAATATTTCCTTTCTCTTTTTCCTTTAAACAAGATAAGAAACTCAATTTCTTCCACATTACAAACTCACAGAGACAAAATCTACAATAAAAAGGTGCTTGAATTGTATAGTATGAATATGGATTTTTTTTCTCAGATGGAGAGGTAAGTTATTTTCGTTAAGTAATAGCTTAATGGTTTAAGGCATTTATTCTTCAAAAAGAATACAAGTTTACTTTTTACTTATCAAGTTAATTGTATTTTTTTTTTGAAATAACAAGTTAATCTTAGATACTAAATACATGAAGTTATGAAGAACAGCAGGTACTCGTAAATGATCTATTATTTACGTGGACATGCACAATCTACTTGCAAAGTTGAGGGTAATAAGAAAAGTAAGTGTACAATTACATATCGTTATTGAAAGCAAGTTTATAGCAATTACATAATATTTGCAAGCAGTTTATAATTAAGTTTATATTTTATATTAAATGTTTACAAATATTATAATATTTTAGTTAAATATATTTCATACCTATATATTTCTATTAGATAAAGTTTAATGTGATAAAATCAAATTAACTAAAGAAATTACATTCACGTTTTAAACGCGTTAATATTGGTTTAAAATCGAGAAAAAATCTTTCAAGATGTGGTGCTTTAAGGTTTTTTTATATAAAGTTAACGATTGGATCTCTTTTAAGTTATAAGGCAATTTATTATATAACTCTGCTCCTTCCTATAGTATGTTTTTCTTTCATTAGTTAGTTCGTGGTTGTCTTAAGCAAATGTTATTTTTTAGCCTAGTGATACGTTTTTGTATTTGCCCTTTCTTTGTAAACATTATTTTAGAGTTCATATCTTTATTTAATAGTTTATGTACTAATATGTACGTATTATATTTATAAATCTGGGATAGTGTCATTAATTGAGTATCTTTGTAAATTATTTCGGTAGGAGTTAGAAAGTGAAAATGGAATAGTAGTTTAATTATTTTGTTTTACATGATTCGATTTGCTTTAAATTTGTTTTAGCTATAGTACCCTACACCTCTATAAGGTAGTCTAGATGAGATTTTACCATGGAGTTGTATATAATATATCGAGATAAATGTACCGAGTGCTGCGCGTGTTTTTTATTATTTTTCAGCTTATACACCAGGTCGATTGTTGCAGTGAGTGTATACGATTTTGTGCGAAACCCATATTGATTATTTTAAAAGAAGTTAATAGTTTTAAAATAATTATCTAAGCGGTTATATAAAATTTTCTCGTAAATTTTAGAGATTATTGGTAGGAGTGAGATAGGGTGATAATTTTCTGGATCGGTCTTTTTTTCTGACTTAAAATTGGACTTTTGCTACTTTAAAAGAATCGGAGAAGAAACCATTTTGTAAACAATAATTTATATTCTTTCTTAATTCGTTTAATATTTAGTTTTTGATGCATTTTATGGTTTTGCATCTAATTCCGCCTGACCCCGTGCTAGTGTTTGCATTGAGGTTATCTATGATTTTACTTACTTCCTCTTTCGTAGTTGGATTTAGACAGAGTAGTTCGAAAGTACTACACTTAGCCGTATGAGAGCTAGATGGTACATACGATTTTTCCTTATGCGTTTTAATTTTATTTGCTAAAATACTAGCACTAAAAATAGTAGTAAATAAAGTATTGAAATAATAACATATTTCTTTAACGTCCGTAATTGGACCTATTTGTGTATCTAGTGTTGTAGGAGCAGAGCACAATTTTGTTTTGCTTCTAAGCTAAGTTCCCGATTAACTTCCACATCTTTAAAGGTTTCTTTTTATAGTTTGTTTCACGGTCAGACACGGTATTTCGTAGGGCAATGAAGTCTTTTCTTATTGATTCGTCGTTGGGATTTTTCTTGTAAATAGACCACAGCTGATTTATTTTGGTTATCATTTTAGTTATGTCTTTATTAATCCAGTATGATTTGGAATTTTGAATTTTGGTATTCTATATTTATTTATTGCTTCCTTTATTATATGTTCTAGGCTTTCGTAGTCACTATTAGATATGAACATCACCGTTCTTTCTAATGTGTGGAATAGAGCTGCGTAATTTAAGGTATAATACTTTATTTTATTTTTCGTTTTCGGTGTATAATTGCCAACTTCTTCATATTTTCTTTTATTTTCTTCATATTTGCTTGTTGTCTGATATTGGCGATTCTACTATAGTCATATTATGAAATTTATGATTTTTCAAATTGGATAAAACATGGTCAAGAATTGAATTTTGTCGATGTATCATAGGTACAAAATTTTGTATCAATTTTGTTTAAGATTGTGTATCCATTTTCTTGTAGTATCCTTGTGTAGTTATTAATTGATTGGTTAGGATTAAGCAGATCGTAGTTGAAGTCACAGAACACTAAAACTCTTTGCCTTCTCATTAGATGATGTCCTCCAGAAAGCCATGATTGTTTGATTTTGGAGTTTTTTATATGGTTCCAATGTCTAACGTGTATTAATCTAAATGAAACCATAGGTAATGATTGTCCTCTTTACAAAGATCTTCTCAATAGTTGTGTTTTAAGCAATCCTGAACAAATATGGTTACTCCACCTCCTCTGGCCTTTTCTACTATATTATAATAACAGCTACACCCATAGTTTGGTAATTTCAAACATTTGGCTTCAGATTCTGACTTAATCCACGTTTCTGATAGTATAATTACATTACAGGACTGGATATGTTATATTGTATAATGCAGTTTTATTCGTCGAATTTTCCTGGCTTCGCCATGCTTCGTGCGTTAGCGTAAAGACATTTTAAAGATTTAGGGCTTTTTATTAAGTGAGTGTATGAATCAGTTTCTTCACGAGTAGTGTTTGGAGTTATGTCGTTTGTATCTTGCATTGATAGTTTTTGGGCTGGATTTTTATAATTTTAGGCATACCTTTGACATATTTTATAATAAGATCCTTTTCACCTCCAGCTAGTCACCATTTCAGTTCGTCTCTTAAATTACTCCGATACTTTTGTTGGTAGGGTTCCTCATCAGAGTAGATTTTATTATTTTCAGATTTTATGTTCGATTTCTTGCGTAGAATTGATTATGCTACTTCGAATGTCGAGAATAAAACCTTTATAGGTCTGGATTTATCAGGATTATATTTTTCTAAACGGATAGTTTTTGTCGGTTCCATGCAGTCTTGAACAGCATTTTTATTATTTTTTTACTTCTTCGTGATCATCATGTGTCCTCCTTCATAGTTTGAGGATCGTATCTCTTTTATACCTCGTATGATAACATTTTTCTCCCTCTGAGATCGTTCGTAGGTCTCCGATATTAAATCAAAAGTAGAAAATAGAAAGTCCTCTCCTGAGTTTCACGCATTGTTTTCTAGGTGGTAGGACTTCTTTTCTGCCTATGAGTCCATCGCTGATCAGCAGTTTGTACTGCCGTGTTCCGGTCTGAAAGGTATATACAGCCAGTTTATTGAGAGTATGTGAGGCATTCCATCTTAGTCCATCCTTCCACTTATCAAATGGACTGTAGTTCGTTATTCACTTCAGTTTAATAAATAAAAAATGTGTGGGGTGGGATATGATTGCGTTTAATATCGACTGCGATAATTTGTAAAACTGTCAGCAACCAGGTCATCATCTGGTATGATTTTAGTACCTGGCTATCAAAAGCACGAACTGTTATTATTTCCTAACACCGTCACAGAACACAAATTTCGATATGCTGTCGATATTGCCGCTCTCGCATTGGGCTTAGTTACGAAAGTTTTTTTTGTCTGTGACTATATGCAACTTAAAGCATATGTCATAGACGAAGAGGTTTGTTTGTTTGTTTAATATTTATATATAAAAATTACGTTTTTTTATAGGATAGGGTGACAGACGACCACACAGTCTACCTGATGGTAAGTGGTTGCTGTAACCCATCTACATCTATCCTCGTTTGTGAATCAAAATGCAGATACGTTGTCACCCGTGAGGACTAAGATGGAACGCCTCTGTTCCAGTTCCAGTTCGGTTCACTACACTCACCATACGAAACACAGCAGCATGAAGCTGCTATTTTACGCTGGTATTCTGTGAGAGCGTGGTCCTTCCCCGGTCGAGCCGACCTATTCATGCTACAACTACACTACTAATATAGCTGCAGCATGGCTCTACCACGTGTAAAAAAAAACTAACGTGTCACATTGTTTGTCCGTGATGACCTCCTAAACTACTGAACTGATTTCAATGAAATTTGCGCACTGTGTGCAGTTTGGCCCAACTTGAGAGATAGGATAGTTTTTATCCTGATCAGTGACACTCAATATTACGAATTTAAGGATTTTTATATGAAGGGTCGTCGAAAAGGGCAGAACAACGTCTGCCTGGTCAGCTAGTATAGAATAAAATGAAATAAACCTAGCTTTGAAGAAGTTTATCGCGTTTATTTTGAGTAATTTTTAATTTTTCAAAATTTCCCGACGTTTTCTCGACATCGAGGGTTATGTACCACCCATGCACGAGGAGGCTGAAGTATTTATATTCCGATTTCATTTATCTTTTAATTATTGATTTTGGTAAGATCTAAGCAGAATAAGCTTTCTTCATTTTGAAATTCTGCAGTATTTTTTAAGCTTTAAAAAACGTTAACCCCAAACTTGATTTTCTCCTGTGTCGTGGAGGCAGTTTACAAACATAAATTGCACAAGGACAAACATCCAGACCCGGAACAATTATTTGTAGGCCATACAAATACTTGTTCCGTGCGGGATTCGAACCTGCGGCCCCAGCGCAACAACTGATTGCTAAGCCACTGCGACACGGAGCCGTCAATTATGCTTGGATTTGGATTTATATTATTAATGACAGAATCCTAAGCAGATGATTCTATCATCTATTTCTTTTTATTGAAAATCAGGTTTTTTTATATCACTCCCCTCCCGGTGATTTATTTAAAATATTTTTTGATTTTTGAATAATCTATTATTGTTACAGATTTACCCAAATCCGGTCCGGAGATGCAAGGATTAAAGCAGTATTATCGGCCAGGGATGAAGCTCAAAGTAGAGTGCGTTAGTCACAATTCCCTGCCTGCAGCTAATCTTTCATTTTTTATTAATAGTGAACCGGTAAGCAATTCATCATTATTACAGACTATCATGGTTCACTGCTGAACATAGGCCTCACCCATGGATTGCCTCATAAGATAATAATTTGTAATAGTTCGGAAACAAGCGGTGGGTTGGCAACCTGAGTTGGCACATCCTGATTAAGTTACCCTCTATTACCTCTTACGATTCCCACGGGATAACATGGGGCGGTGGATTCTCTTATGCCATCACTACACGCAACAACTTATTACTATTTCCAATAGTCCAAAATTCACGTCATCGTCAGCTCGTTAACAGTGCATCGGTGACCGTGGCTTAGGTGATGCCATGTTCCTGTCCTTAAATCCCACCTAGAACTAACATAAGATAAAATTTTTAGTTTTCGGGCCTGGTTATGTATCTCCATGTCTCTAAAACTGTATTCTAGTCTATCCAATTTAAGTGTTAACTCAAGATTAGGTAGATTTAGACGAGCGAGTGCCTTTTTCCATTTAAATGACTTTTTGCACCTGTGTTTGGTGTGTATAATATCTCCTATACGAATTTTCGAATTGTATTTTCAATGTCTAAAATAAGCCATCCAAACACATCATCCTCAGATTTTATCTCACAAGTTTAATAATTATGATGCTGAAACAGATAGGACACTAAACCTTATGGTACTCTTACTGACACTACATTTTTCGGGGCTTGAGTCGCATTTTTCCCTTTTTTGTAATAAAACCTCAAAATGTATCGAAGTTTTGCGTAAGATTCACTCATTTTGGCGGACAGATTGACAATTGAATATATAAATGTGTGTTGATATTAAAACCAGGCAGATACAAATAGTACAACGAAAGAGATTTTTTTTCAACATACTACAAAAAAAATACGAAGAAACTTTTTCCCCGACCTATTATATTGGTTTTTTGTTCATTAGATCACTCTGTAAATATGTAATTAATTTGAATATTATATTATTAACGTAAATACTACACCTTAAATTAAACTTTTTATTTTATTGCATTTAATGTAGATATAGTTTTTTAAAATTAACAACGGCAATATGTATATAAATAGCGACCACAATTATTATTGTGAGGCACCTAACGTTTCAAAAGTTTCACCAGACATTACGGGTTGTTTTACAGTAATTATGATCATAGAAGGAAGTAAAATAAGTAAAAAACAAGACGAAATTAAGATGCGTAAAATTCCGTAAAATTAGTTTTATTCAATATTTTATTTTATTTAGAAATAAATCCAATAATGAATGTCAAAATTAATTAAAACGTTTTAACAGGCACATAAGCAGCATGTATGGCATCGCGTAGGCCCAGCCAATGGAAGTTTATGGAATGCTTATAGTACAATACAATTCGTGGTACAAAAACATCATTTTATAAGAGGTAAAATGAAAGTAAGTGAAAAATTATTTTCAAGCAAAAATTTACTTAAATTACTTATTTATCATATCTGTGTATTGCATTAAATTTATATGTACAATTGAAATAGGAAGTTAATGGTTTAACTATTCTAAACCTAAATTCTATACATATAATACTTCTATTTTTCGATTCACAGTTTATTGTCCTCCTCATTTTAATGTTATGTTATTTGCAGCGTAATAATATTTTGCTCAAGGAAAATGGGACACGCTATTTGTCTTAAAAGATTTACTGTCCATGACGCTTCAAAATTGTTTCCTTGAGGGTCGTTGCATACCCTCGTTGAGATGTATTGTTAACTCCCCTTAAGCTAAATTAACATAAATCATGTATTTCTTTTTTGTAGTATTAATGGACATGATGTGCAGCTATAATCAAAATAAATCATATCTTTGTATTCATATTAATATCATATGACAATGTTTTAAAGTCGATAGTGTTATAAGTAAAACTTACGTATTATACAGTTGTAATTTTTATAAACATACATTTGTGTTATAAACATCAAAAAATCCGAATAATGAGATTTAAATTCAATTCCTTTTGAATCAATTCAAACAAGTTATAGTAAGAAAGTGTTCGAAGGCTCTCTGAATATAAAACGAGAAGACTCTTTGTCTTCCTGTTTTATGCCAGAATAAAAACAAAACTTTTTGTCAATGCCCCTACCAAATGCATTCTAAATAAGTTTTGTTTCATTGGTATTTCAGTGCAGTGGTGCGTCTTATTTCTCATATTTATTTTTCTAACCGATTTAAAAATGAGGAGGTTCTATTTTCGATGCATATTCTTTTTTAAATAAAATTAAAGTATTTTTAAAAGTTTTTACTTAACTTGCAATGCTTGTATGTTTGTTAGGTACAAATCATGCAACTGAATTCTAATGCAGTTAGCCTCAACCGATTAATCTAAAATTTTGCATATATGTTTAGTTTGGATGACAATACATGGTTAGCTAAAAGACGTCATTTTAAATCCAATATGGCGGACCGCCCAAGATGGCAGACTAGTTATTTTCTATGCTCTCCCATGACATAGGTATCAAATGAAAGGGTTTGCTGAGAGAAATACGAAAATAAAATGACGTCACTCTAAATTAAAAATGGTGGACACCCAAAGATACATAATATGGATATATATAATATAGTAATATGGATATGTAAAATAGATAATAATCTCATAATATGGATATAAAGTAAAAGGGTATGCTGATAAGAATACGAATAAAATAATGCCCGCGTTAAGGTGTTCGAAGAGATGGTGTACTTCTGCCCGGCTAAACGGTTAGACTTAGCGTGGACGTATCTTAATTATTGCTCGACCCTACAGCCTGGGAAAATCCTAGCGGTGGTGAAATAAATTCAAACTGCAGAAAACAAAATAGCCGCCATAACAATTTTAAAGAGTTTTAAATCGGCAAAGGTTAGGGATAGTTTGGTCAAGGGCAAGGACAAGGGTCAACTGGTGGCGATAAATAAAATTCAAGATGGCGTACCTAAGTTGGCGATCAAAAAAATAGTTGCTCCAATGATTCTGTAATTTCGTTATCCCGGGGATGGGATCGAATTGTTCGGGTCAAATTTAGTAACTGAAATTTAAAAGTAAGTTTCCTTATGATTAAAAATAAACGTATTATTATTACTAAGTAACTTTATTCTAAATACAATATGGCGGACCGCACAAGATGGATCACTAGTTATGTTTTATATCCTCTCTGATATGGGTATCAAATGAAAGTGTTTGCTGAGTACAATACTAAGAATAAAATGACGTCACTCTAAATCTAATATGGCGGACTGTCCAAGATGGCGGACTAGTTATTTTTATGCACTCCCACGATATGAGTATAAAATGAAAGAATTTGTTGATATGAGTACAAAAATAAAATGAAGTCACTCCAAATCAAATATGGTGGACTCCCAAAGATGGCGGACTATGTGTTTTTCATTCACCCCCATGATATGGATATCAAATAAAAGGTTTCGCTGAGAAGAATACGTATAAAATGACGTCCGCGTTCAGCTCCTTGAGGAGATAGTGTACTACTGCCCGCCTAAACGGAACAAATGTTATAGGGACCGACAAGGGTGTTGATTGCTGGCAATGAAAGAATGAAAATGACAGATCTAAGATGGCGATCAAGATGATGGCACTAAATGGAACTAAAAAAAAATAATTAATAGTAAAAAACATTTTTAAAAACAAGATTTTATATAAATAGTCTAAAAAGAAGAAAATAAACTTTAAATTACTAAAATCAAACTTAACAATTTTTTACACAATTTATAAAACACAAATAATAAAAGCTTGTCGCGTTTAATTTCCAGTTTTTCATTTTCATTGAAATTTAAAGAAAAACATCCTTATTTCAATAGAGGAGATGGATGGGTGCTACGATCTTTGGCTTGGGATCCTATAATTATTAAAATTAATTCCAAACCCAAGTATACCACTGCAAGACTTCAATATACTGTAAGCTCCTTCTACGTAGATCGGCCCAAAATTAATATTCAAAAATTGAAGTTTAAGCGGGGCTAACTATAACATTGAGGCGTCAAACACCTCAGTCCCCCCTCCCCCCCTAAATGTCTGGAATTAAAATGTTAAAATGAAACGCGATAACATCCGTAAAATAAGTTTCATTTAATATAATTTTAAATTAAATATTATAAAGTATACTTTAGGGGTGGTCTCACCACACTCGAAAAGGTATTAAGCCCGACTTCAAAAACTGAATAGGATGGGCAATATACAACTAGCTTCTGAAGCCAGGGTTTTGATTCTTCGATACACTATGTCTTATCATGGACTTCAGAAGTTGTTATGTGAATATTTATATTTTTGAAATTTTTAAACCGGTTTGTAGTTTACTAAAACTTTAAGTATTTTTTATTGTTTTATTTTATTTATTGTAAATTATATCATACTTTAGGGGTGGTCGTACACTCGGAAAGGTTTAATAAAATGTAATAAAACCACTTTTAATAAAATTTGAATCTCGATTTCAAAAAATATATAGGATAGGTACACTAGCTTCTGAAGTCTGGGCTTTCTTTCTTCTATACACTATGTCATAGCACGGGCTTCAGAAGCTGGTATGTGAATATTATTTTATTTTTCTTTTAGTTTTGAATCTAGTGTGTAATTTACAAAAAGATTAATTATCTTTTATTTTATTTCTTCGAAAAAATACATAAATAATATTCTAAAATTATAAATAATAATTAAATAATAAATAATATTCTAAAAATTCGCACGGGTGATTTCTGGATTGCGACAACAGCGCTACTTAGGGACCCACCCAAAAATACACACAATAAAAATCTTCGAAATCCATCTAGCCGTTCTTTATTTATATAATTATCGTAAGAAATCTTGAAATATAAATCATTAGTAATTCATATTTATGTACATACTAGTGATACTCACGCCTACTATTTCTATAATATTCAGAGTTTTAAATATTACTTTTGATTACAATATAATATTGTCTAAAGAAATACTCTCTGTAGTAAAACTATTATGATATTCTGATATTTATTCTTGCTTTCTTTATTTAAATGTTTAGATCCGGTGCACAGCAAACATTTACTCCATATACTTAAAAAGTAATGAGCAATGTGCCCTAGAGGAGCGGGTTCCTACCACTCCAGACAGCTTGCCCGAGATAAACGAGGTCGTCCTATATCCCATACACCGAATGGCTGAGACCAGTGACTGTGAGTAAATGCATTGAATATTTTATATGTTTCCAGGCACAACTCTGTTGTATATTATATTTCTTAGTATCTACTTTTAATCTCATCAAATATATTTTACAAAATATAATTGATGGGAGTAATATAGCTCACAATATATCCTTCCTTTTGGTGAAGTTGTTAAAGCTGTGTTAGTCTTGTTTCAAGATAATGTCTTATAATCACTTGTGCATTAATTACTTTTTAACAAATATCATGGATAACTGGTACTACAATTCGATATTGACCTTCATTGATAAATATTAGAATAACTACTTATAATTGTATCTGTACGGACTGGAATGGGTTTATTTTCGCACTGATCCTACGTTTATAAAATTATGTTTGTTATGCATGATAAGATTTGTCTTGCTGACAAATAAGTTTTAAATAAATATAATAATCGTCAGTGTTTTGGCGGGAACTTTCCTCTAAAGTTGTATAAGTAAATTTTAATACCTACTAAAAAGTATTCCTAACACATATAATAACAAATTATTAGATTTTCGAAAAACTTTTCCGTTTTATTTTATGTAACTATACTTAAAATAAATTAGTCTCCTGTCAAACAATTTATTATTCCTCTGCGCTGCATAAATGCGTATTAGTCGACTTCAAATGTCCCGATTTCGTGCTATAAATGTCTGCACATGTAACTATCAGTGGAAAAGATGAAATACGTACTTATATGGTGAATTAAACCTCAAGTTATTTTATCTGCCTGGCGCTAGAGGAACTTCACATCGGCCCTCCATTGGCTTAAACTGGCGTCAATATCTCTCAAAATCTTCGCAATGCAACGCACCATCATGTTGTGAAGATTTTCTTTAACATAGTTAAATTTTGTGAAATATATTGAACAGCACTTGAATTACTTATTAAATAAATAAATTAAAAATAATCATCGTCTAGTTCTGTATGAGCTCGTAATATTTCACATGCCATGGGCCTTTTCCTTTTAGTAAGAACGTGCCTTAATCACAACGCTTCGTGGATGTGGATTGTCGAATAATGTATATCGTACCTTTGACCCTGCTACCCAACGCCAGTATGTCTATTTTACATCTCGCATACATATGTGAGATGGTATACAGCTAACATCAGAGTCCATGAGGTCTTTCTGGTCTTTTTCACATTCGCTTGTTTTATGGTAGAGTCATGTATGTTTATGCTGCCGTAGTATGAATGTGCCAGCTCAATCAGGAAAGGGTAATGCGTGATGGGCCCTTTCCTGATTGAACTTTCCTTTCCATTGTGTGAACAGTAGACCAGCGCAAAAAGCTGCATAATGCTGCTGTATTGCGTATGGTGAGTAACGAGAAACGGGTACCCTTTTTACCATTAGGTGATCTGTGGGAATGTTTGCCATTCTAACTTCTATATAAATGTGTAGGAAGAAATCAGGTGATAGATTCTTTTACACTGCCACTTTACGAAATACAATAGTGTTAGTATTATTTTAAAGGTTAGGTACCTTTAAGTATTGTGTGTAAGAGGGATTTGAAATAGGATCTTTTATCCAATTTTAAACTCACCTGAATGCTGTACTGCTTGTTAACTAACGAGACTATGGCGACCAGAAAACGGCAGTATATCTCTAAAACGCCAAACAAAAATCTCATAGACTGTTGCTCGCATTACCAGTGTGAGAGTAACGCCTTTGTGCCACCAAACCATATGTCCAGTGTGGCCCATACCCAGCAGGTTTATGGAAGCTAGTCAAAATAACGGAAAGTTTATTAATGGCGAGTAAATTTTAATGTACGTCGGAAAATGCGTGACTGATAGACCTTTCTTTTTCAGGTGCTGGTAGACCATGTGGTACAACATTAGCAACGTTATGCACTGTATTATATTACGTGATACTTTTCATTCATGATGATTAGTTTTGTTGAACTCTGATAAGCTAGACACAATGATAATAAAGTGTTCCATGTAACTAAAATGACATCGGACCTTGGTGTTTCTACGACTGAAATATTATTTACTATATTTGCATTGTTAATACTTTGTAGTTGTGCCAACCCGAATTTATTCTGTATTTCATTAAATGGAATACAAAAGTCTATCTTAATTTATTTCAATGACTTACATATATATTTCAAAACTGTAATTTAAACATTTGAAGTGATATTTATATCTAGAAGCGAACATTTGAGTTTACTATTCTCGCTGTAAAGATATTGACGTTTTCGAATAAATATTTTTGTATATATGATGGCAACTGCTCAAATCAAGCGAAACATTATCACCTTAAACTATCAGTAAAATAAGCACTGATTACCAAAATCCAAAGGTATGTCTAGTGACAGTCTTCGTTTTATAGTAATCTCGTTTTTGTTCTAAGCGCCTTTATTGAAAACCCTTAAATGTTCCTTTCTATTTTTCCGAATTCAGTTTTGTTCTTACATATGAGTGTAACTTAAATGAAAATAAACATGGTTTTATTTCCTTAATATTTTAATTTACTAATTCCGCATAAATTAGTATTTAAGTGTAAAATTGATGTACTCGTATGATAAACTCTACCTGAGGCTACAGATATAGAGTGCTTGTTTTATTGTCTGTTATATTTATAGGAATATACATTTTATAATTTAATATATATTACAAATCTAGGGTGACTACCCATCTATAGTATTCCTTGTTCGAAGTTAGTAGTTTGTGTCCATGGACGTCAGTTTTATATAAAAAATAGAAAACTAAATCGTTGCTTAGCAATAACATCTGGGGGCACAATAGTGCCCCCATAAAGTCAAGCAAAAAAGCGCCACGGCCGTACCATCCTTTTCTTGAAGCAGTTTAGACCATTTTCGACCCCCTATAACTTCGTTGTGGATAAAACTAGAAGCCTAAATTTTCAACAAACAAGCAAAAATTGTATAAACACGGTATATTTCAAATATCATTCAATTTGAACTAGTAGTTTAAGAATTATAATTTGTCAAAGTTTCTTAATTTTGTCACTCACTGACTGACCGATTATCAAAACTCTAAGGCACTTCTAGCAGACAGACAAGCTTAAAATTTAGAATACAATTAGTGTTTAGTATATTATTCAAGGAAAAACTAAAATATTTTGTAGTTTTGGTCCAATTTTCTAAATACATCAACTGCATAATTAACTTTGTAATCCCATATAAATATATAGAATTACAAAGTTATATTTGCAGTGAATAAATCAGTGTACTTGTATATGTATAATATAATGGAATAATAGGTGTAGATAGGTACCTAAATATAACTATGTACAAAAAGAAATGAGATACCGTCCAAAACATAACTTGTAAAATAAAACCAAGTCTCGCAACTTAGTTCTTCTACCGTAAAAAGTCGGTTAATTTATTCAGTCCCTATTTAAGGGTCCTTCTGTCTTAAATTATTACGTAATTAGCTAACCTAACAACATCTTATAGTGACGGTATCAATATTAAAAAATCTCTTATGTTTATTACTTGTGAGACACATTGTGTTTTCATGCGATAGCAACTTTTTACGGTAGAAGAACTGAGTTGCAAGACTTGTTTTTTTTTCCAAGTTATGTTTTTGACGGCGTGACGACACCAAGCCTATATTTAAAAAGGTCAACTAGCCTTTCACTGAATCGATGATCAGGATTGTTATTGAATAAAACAAATTTTACGGATTAAAAATAACTGTGCCACAAACTGCTTGGGATTTCATAATTACTTAAAATAAATAAGCAACCCCATACCACTGCAAGACTTCATGATTAAAAACTAAAAATAATATTTACGAGCTGAAAGTGGGATAAGTTTACTAGAAAATCAGGACGTTGAACATCTCACACACTACTTGAACTAACGCTATAAAAGTAAAATGCGTATAATTTGTTTTAATCAATGTCAACCGTCATTAGCCTAATGGCAGGGCGCGGAACGCGAACTCGAAAGGTCGTGGGTTCGAATCCGCCATTCGACTACTGTCGTGAACCACTTCTAACACAAGCATTTTAAGCTTACCAGAAGTGGATAAAGGGAATATTAGTAATGTTTAATAACATTACTAGTATTAAAAAAAATGTATAGCATTCGGGTAAAGTTAAGAATAATTGGATGATCAATGAAATGATTGAAGTTCCGAGACTTGGCATTTATCTTATATGGTGGCGACATCACTGAAACTATTAGTGTTAAATATGCAGGTTTGTTACATATTTGTTGGTGAAGAAAAACATCATGCTGTTAAGTGAAGGCAGATAATGTAGTCCCAAGAGCTCTTGTCTATTTACCAATGTAATAAATGTACCCTCGGTTTTAGAGCCTTGTGGAATATTTAGAGAATCGTCTCTGAATGATCTGAAGGTCTCCTGTCATCGGACAGGAGACCCGATGCTATTACATTAGTTCCTTGGGGTTAAGGTAAAGTCATAGTATGGAATGCTACTTGCGTGGACACTTTGGCAGCCTCTGAACTCAAGGGTACCTCGTTTAAAGCTGGGGCGGCATCTGAGGCAGCTGAACTTTGTAAGTGGCGCAAATATGAGTTTCTGAGAGATGAGTACATATTTGTGCTATTTGCTGTAAAGACTATCGGTCAGTGGGGTCCAAATGTGGTGAAGTTCCTAAAGGAACTGTATCCGCAACTAGTCGTCGCTACTGGTGATAAGTGGGCTGGTTCTTTTCTCGCTCAAAGGGTAAGTATAGCTCTTCACCGAGGAAACGCAGCCAGTATTTTTTGCGATATACTGTGAGGAGTAGGAGGACTGTATGATAATGTACCTAAGTTATTAGTTTTTTCATTATAATAAAAATATTGTACACGTAATTAAAAAAAGATAAGAAGAGCCAACACAAGCTGTAACGTGTAACGTGTTTATACGTGGTAGAGCCATGCTGCATCTATATTATGGTTGTAGCACGAATGGGTCGGCTCTACCGGGGAAGGACCACGCTCTCACAGAATACCAGCGTAAAATAGCAGCTTAACGCTGCTGTGTTTCGTATGGTGAGTGTAGAGAACCGGAGAC